AGCCAACCTATTCCTCTTGAGAATTAATAAGTGGGATGTATTGCTGTTCATCCTGTTTGGTAGAACCTTATTGTTTTACTTCTGGAGCTATTATTATGTCTTGATTTTGAGCTTTAGCTTTTGGGTGATTACATTGGTGGGTGTCTATTGTGCTGATTGATGTATGATACAGATCTGAGTATTTCCTGCCGGGCTGGTCTGGTCTTGACAAATTCTCTCAGTGTTTGCTTGGCTGAAAAAGTTTTTATTTCTCCCTTGTATAACTTAATTTTGCAGGATGCAAAATTCTAGGCTGTCCATTATTCTGTTTAAGAAGACTGAGGATAGGGCCCCAATCCCTTCTGGCTTGTAAGGTCTCAGTTGATAAGTCTGCAGTTAGTCTGATGGGTATTCCTTTATAAGTTACCTTATGTTTTCACCTTATAACTTGCAGGAATTCCTTGTTAATATTAACTTTGGCCAGTCTGATGACTATGTGTCATGGTGATTGCCTCTTTGTGATGAATCTCCCAGGAGTTCATTGAGCTTCTTGTACCTGAATATCTAAGTTTCTAGCAAGACCAGGGAAGTTTTCCTCAATTATTCCTTCACATAGGTTTTCCAACCCTTGTGTGTTCTCTTCTGACTCAAGGATGCCTATGATTTTTATGTTTGGCCTTTTTACCTAATCCCATATTTCCTGTACTTTGTTCATCCCTCTTATTTCTCTGTTCTTTATCTCTGACCGACTGATTTAATCTGAAGGAGTTGTCTTCAAATTCTGAGACTCTTTCTTTTGCCTGTTCTAGTCTATTCTTAAAATTTTCCGCTGTTTTTTATTTCCTTGAATGAATTTTTCATTTCCAGAAGTTCTATTCATTTTTTCTTTAGTGAATTTTTCATTCATTTCCTGTACTGTTCTTGTTGTTTCTTTGTGTTGGTTTTCCATTTTGATTGAGATTGAATATTTGATTTGAATATTGAATCTCTGTTGAGATTCCTTATAATCCAAATTTAGAATTCTTTATTTGTCATTTCAGTATTTTCATTTTGGTTGGCATCTATTGGTAAAGAGTTTTTGTTTCCTTTTGGGGGTGACCTTTTGGTCTGATTTTTCATACCTCTGGAGTTCTTTTACTAATTCCTTCTCATCTGGCCTCTCAATCCAGTCCTGGAGGTACTGGGCCTGGCTTGTGGGTCTATCCTTGGTTCCCCAAAGATCAGTCCCTGACCATGCCAGGGAGAACTTGGGACCAGCACTCGTATGTGGGGTGTTCAAGTATTTTTGATGATCCTCTTGAGTTGCCTTTGTCCTGATGTCTTCATCTCTTCCCAGCAGTGTGAATTTTGTTGGGTCCCCCAGCTTAATCTCCAATATGGGGGGTGGTACTATTGAGTGAGTACAAATCAGTCATGCCCTGTTTGCTTGAGTTGGGTGATGCTAGGATGCCCTTTAGAGTTGTTCTCCCTGTCATTGGTTGAAGTTTGTAAGAGCCACTGCCAAGATGTTATTTTGTGCCCATGGCTGACTTTGGTCCCCCAAGTGGAGTACTTGAGTGCTCCAAGCTTCAGCAGAAACCCTGATGCTCCTAGGGGTTGCTTGATCTCTACCACCACTGAGGTGGAGGGAGAAGCAAGGCAGTTCCTCGCTAGGATGTGGGAGCTGGAAAGGCTTTTGAAAGCCTTGGCAGGGCTCAGAAAATGCTTCTCCAGTCACTAGGAGGAGGTGCTGGTATAAGAGTCTGGATTGGCTCACCAGACCAGGCTGAGATCTTTCTGCCTTTATCCAGTAGCAGTTTTTCTGTGAGGAGGGGTGGGCGCTCCCCCAAATAACCATTCCTTGGACCCTTGCAGCACACTCCCATCAGTTCAGCCAACCTGTGCTCCCTCACCACCTGAGCCCAGCTCTTAAACCTCTCCCAGATCTGTATGTCTGACTCAATAGCATGCATTTCCATGAAACACCAGCAGGCAGGGAGTTCCAAAATTGTGTACCCCTGTTCCCACAACCAGTTCTCAGAGGAAGAGGTGTGGACCCCTCTATCTATGGGGACCTCTGCCTGTAACACATACCTTCAGGAGAGAAATAGCCGCTCACGAATTTCTCTGCATAAACTGCTCTCCTTGTTGTAATGAATGGAGGAGGGGCTCTAGCACCTGGTCAGCTGAAATGCCTTAGTGTAAGGCATTAAGTTGCCACAGATCTGGGGGCAAGGCTATTTTTCACTGAATGCCATATTCTTATTCAATATGACAGTTCTCTAATGGGAGAGATAAGCACATCCCCAGATCCCTGGTTCCTTAGCACTACTCTACAGTCTCCTATCAGGTATGTCTGTGTGGGCTTCCTTGCTACCTGAGTCCAGCTCCCAGTCTTCTCCTCTGCATCCCCCTGCACCTCTCATGTCTGGGGTGCACCAAGGGTAGCTTGCTTCTCTCACCCACTAGTGTATGATTCCGTGAAATGCCTGTGGGCAGCAAGTTCCCAAATTGTTCATCTCTGTTCTACAATAAGACCTCAGGGGGAAGAGGTGTGGGTCACACTTTCTGAAAATACCTCATCCTAGGATGTATGCCCACTGGAGAGAAGCGAGAAGCAGTTGTTCATTAACTTCTCAGCTCTAACTATATTTGTGGCTGTACTAGGTGGGGAAGAGGTGCAGCTCCTAGACAGCCCCAACTCACACTGCTTTCTCAGTTGCAGTGGATGGTGGGGGTGGGGGAGTGTCTGGATGGGAGAAAGCCGGCACTACAGCCTCTCTTGGCACTCTCCCAGGGATGTTCCACTCGGGATGCCCAAACTCCCGTGACTCGCTAGTTCACCCCATTATTCGTATTTAAGGGTGGAAAAGTCTTCAGTACGCTTAGTGTCCTGCTGTTCGCCAAAGGTACTTATCCGGCGGAGGGGAATCCCCCCTTACCCTTTTGCTGGGCTCTAAGCCTCTCTGGATTTGATCCCTGCTAATATCTTCTCCTCTTTATCTTCTTATTTCCTGGCTTCACAATTTTCTCTTTGGGATCCCCAGCTGTCTCTGACTTCTCTCTCTGTGGTCCACACCTGAGCTGCAACTGTTCTCCGCTCTCCTCTGTCCGATATCCTGCCTTCCTGTCAGGATACTCCAACAAACAATGTCTCTGGTTGGCTATCTTGCCTGAATCCCCCAAAACAGTCACTTTTATTGTTGAAAAAAGTGTGTACTGTTTAATTAACATACCATGTATATCTAATGTTCTTAAGTGTCACATTCAAAATTCCCTTTAAGAATATTATTAATAGAGTCCACTTACACTTGGGCTCGCTCTTTTGCCAGACACTGGAGCATAGTAAATTGTGATTATCTGTCTGCCAGTGTTTTCTGTAAACATATATTTTGGGAGAGGCTGAGGCAGGAGAATCACTTGAGTCCAGGAGTTCTAGGTTACAGTGAGCTAAGATCATGCCACTGCACTCCAGACTGGGTGACGGAGCGAGACCCTTTCTCTCAAACACACACATATTTTTGGGAAAAACAGCAAAAATAACAAATTCTAGTGTTTGGTGATTTTTGTCATCATCAACATTTAGACTCAAAGCAAGTATGTATTTCAGTGGTTATCTGCATGCTTTCTCTTGTTCTGGTCATTTATAAAATCAATATAAAGTAGTAAAAAAAGAGGTCATAGAATGATAGGCAGTCATTATAAGATATGATCTCAGCTTTGGACTGTGGCTTTAAGTCAGTCACTCACACCCCTTATGTCATAGATTCTTCATCACTGAAAGGAGAGTATAAGATTCAGGGACTTCTAAGAAGGCCTCTTCCAGCTCTCCTATTTCAGATTTGTGTGATTCTGATTCTATGTATGGTTGCAGATACTTCAGCTAATTTTAAATTATAAGCAAGATTTTGTGCCTTTTTGCAAATGTGTCAATCAACCATTTACAGAAGGAAATTGTAGAAAGTATGCTCATATAGGTACCAAGACTGAACAACACATGAGCAGAAGCAGAAGCTAACTTTAGGAGGGGAGATGGGACTGTGGATTCAGAGAAATCTTAACATGGATAGTAGTGACATTAAACAAGCTCATATTGGAGGATCTACTGAGTAGCCAGGATTACAGGCACATGGCATAATGCCCAGCTAATTTTGCTATTTTTTTGTAGAGATGGGAATCTCACTCAGGCTAGTCTTGAACTCTTGGCCTCAAGCAATCTTCCCAGCCTCAGCCTCCCAAAGTACTAGGATTATAGATGTGGGCCCTCACGCCCAGACAGCTCATTTTTGTTTATTACTGAGTAATACTGTATTTTTTGAACACACCACAATTTATTTATCCATTCACTTATTGAAGGACATATTCATTGTTTCCAAGTTCTGGCATTTATCAATGAAGCTACTATAAATATCATGTAGAGATTTTTGTGTGGATATAAATTTTCAACTAATTTGTATAAATACCACGGAACGTGACTGCTGGATCTTATGTTTAAGAATATTTCAGTTTTGTACACAAGTGCCAAACAATCTTCCAAAATGGCTGTACCATTCTGCATTTCCACCAGCCATGCATGAATGAACTCTCATTCATTGTGTTGTTCCACATTTTTGCCAGTATTTGGTGTTGATGGTTTAGTTTTAGGGTTCATTTTCTAATTTATTAAACTTAAAGGTACAGTATGAAACATTAAAAAACTATTAACTTCTAAGACCTAATTTTCAACAGCAAAACAAAAAATGTGTCTGTGATATATGAAGCAAAACTCCTTAGTCATTTTATTTTTTTGTTTTTCCAGAAGTGAATTTCTTTTTTTCTGCTTTGGGTCCTTACATACTTTGTTATTGCCATCTCTACCACCATGACCCTTATCCCCACACGTCCACATGGATACTTAATTGCCATGTTAATGATCAAGTTCTCTTTGACTTTCTGAGTGAGAATTCAACAAGAAAAATGCTCCATTCATTTAATAAATAATATTATTTTAAACTTTCCTGAAACTATATTAGTAAGTGTACATTTAGTGGTTATCATTGCAGATAAATGAAGAATTCAGAACCTGACCATAAGTTCAAGACAAGCTGCAAAAAAAGGAAGAAAAATTCAAAGACCTTGGAACAGAATTCCACCACTGTCAAACCCAGGTAATGAAACTACTTATAGACTTTATGTCCTGTCACAGTGAGTTTTGTAGTATAAAATTATCTTTTAGCCGGGCGTGGTGGCTCACGCCTGTAATCCTAGCTCTCTGGGAGGCCGAGGCGGGTGGATTGCTCGAGGTCAGGAGTTCAAAACCAGCCTGAGCAAGAGCGAGACCCCGTCTCTACTATAAATAGAAAGAAATTAATTGGCCAACTAATACATATAGAAAAAAAAAGCCGGGCATGGTGGCACATGCCTGTAGTCCCAGCTACTTGGGAGGCTGAGGCAGGAGGATTGCTTGAGCCAGGAGTTTGAGGTTGCTGTGAGCTAGGCTGACGCCACGGCACTCACTCTAGCCTGGGCAACAAAGTGAGACTCTGTCTCAAAAAAAAAAAAAAATTATCTTTTAAGATGGAAGGAAAATGTGACCAGAAGCAGACTACTAGCAATTATATATGTTAGTTTAAATAATTCCACAGATACAATTTTCCCAAGCAATATATATATATCATTTTCACATGTGGAAAAACTCATGGATTAGTTTCTTAAACTGCTCTGGATGTTTTGTGACATAATATGTTATGCAAACAAAACTGTTGAGAAGTTTTCACGATGATTTAAAAAACTGGGTCTGTAGTATTTCCTTTCAAAAAGAAAAGGTTGTTCAATAATTTTAATAATTCCAAAAGTTTGTGTATACTTCTTTGAATTTCAACTACCGTCATTTCCAAACCTAAAATTTTCCATGTCTACCTTATTATGAATAGCTCCCATACACACTTAAAATCTTCCTTAGAGGGTCTCAACTTTAGAACTGATAACTCTTTTCAAGATTAGCTTTTCACACTGTGGATGCTTATTAGGTGTGTGTTTCTTAAATTGGTGTGTTTTCACCATTCTACTGAAAAGTTATGCCAAAAATCAGCAGTAAGGGCCAGGCGTGGTGGCTCACGCCTGTAATCCTAGCACTCTGGGAGGCAGAGGTGGGAGGATCGCTCAAGGTCAGGAGTTCAAAACCAGCCTAAGCAAGAGTGAGACCCCCGTCTCTACTAAAAATAGAAAGAAATTAATTGGCCAACTAAAAATATATATAAAAAAAAATTAGCTGGGCATGGTGGCGCATGCCTGTAGTCTCAGCTACTCGGGAGGCTGAGGCAGGAGGATCACTTGAGCCCAGGAGTCGGAGGTTGCGGTGAGCTAGGCTGATGCCACGGCACTCTAGCCCAGGCAACAGAGTGAGACTCTGTCTCCAAAAAAAAAAAAAAAAAAAAAAAAAAAAAGTCAACAGTAAACTCCAAATGACCCAATCTGGTAGCCATTTCCAAGCCTCACTTTGCTTTACTTTACCTATAATATTTGACAATTTCTTTTCAATAAAGCTTTTTTTCTAGCCTCCTACTTTTCTTTTTTGTACCTTTAAAAACTCAGCCAGGTTCTTTGCCTTTTTTAATCCCCAAACGGGGGCATTTGGCCAGGTTTTCCTCAGCTCATGACAGATGTATGCATTCATAAGGATGTAGAGCCTGCTATAGTAGAAAGGAAACTGATTACATGTGAGAAGAGCTACATTCAAAGCCTCATCATTTTTCCAACAAACTGTGCAATATGATCAGTCATTTGAACTTAGAGTTTGTTTCCACATCTATAAGAACTGAGATAAAACTACTTACATTATAGGGTTATGCTGTGGATCCAAAATGAGGTAACAAGTTGATAAGCATGTATTACTATACAAATAGATATTACTTATTAATGTTTAGTATTAGAAAACAGCCAAGTCACTAGCTCTATGACTCTCTTTGTGCAAAGCTATTTGGCCCCCAAAGGGGTCAAACTTAGGACCTTGTATTAATTATCAGTATTATAACTAACTAGTTTTACAGGCCCAAACCATATGTAGTAATTCTTTTTTGCATGTGTATATCATGAAATCTAAATTTTTATTATGTTGTCATAGTATTTCAAAGGCCTTTGATGAGGGGATGCCAACTTTCCTAGCACTAGAGAATTAACAGAAGTAGTCATTATATAGAGTTAAAAATGCTTAAATTTTTTGAATGTATTGTTAAGTCCTTGAAATTTACAAATTAATAAGCAATAGTATAGTATAAAAAACATAAATGTTTACTACTATGTATTCTTGGTTGAATATTTTATTGCAAGCATTTAAACCTTGGATTATTCATATTATAGAAACATGGACCCACAGGTTGATCACAAATTCCAGGACCTCCTTCACCACATCCAAAGGCAAGTGGAGAGCCATCCCCATCACAATCTCTACCAGCACCACCTCTACCCAGAGGAGTTTTCTCTCCTCTTCCAACTCCTTCACCTGTACTAAATGATAAACCATCACCACCATCACCATCACTTTCAATGGGGGATGACCTGCACTGGGATTATTGCCTACTCTTAACAATGAAGCAGAAATAAAATGTATGCACCTGAACTCCATGGCTTGATTCTTTATCTCCTTGACTTGAGTCCACATGAAGAGAATTAATTGATTCAAAGCTAGAACTCTGACTAAAGGTTTTTCTGGCATCTTCTAGTCATTAGTGGTTATTAATGTATAAATAATTGTATAGCTATTTGTAAATATGTATACAGCATAATGTTGGAGAAAATGACTACAGGCTCTTTTGCTTTCCTTGGTGAGCTTGTAATCATATTTTTCTCTTTCAGTACAGTGTATCAATAATTGGAAACTCCATAGAGAATACAAAATTTATGTAGAAGGCAAAGTGCAAATCAATAAACTGGTATAAGATAAATGTATTAGTTTCCCAAGGCTGCTATAACAAATTACCACAGACTGGCTGCTTATAACAACAAAAATTTCTCACAGTTCTGGAGGGCAAAAGTCCAAAATCAAGGTGTTGGCAGGGCCATACTCTGAAGGGGCTCTAGAAGACAACCTTTTCCTTACCTCTCTAAGCTTTTGGCGACTACTGACATTCCTCGGCTCATGGCCACATATCTCTCTGCTCTTTGCACTGCCTTCTATGTGTGCCTGTGTGTAAATTGTCCCTACCACTCTCTGTTAGGGATACCTGTGATTACATTTAGGGCCCATATAATTGATTTGTGCATGCTGATCTTATACTCTGTACCTTTTCTAAATTCTTTAAGCTCTAAGTTTTTTTGCATATTTTTCTGAAAATTGCCACCACTTTTTCCCTACAAACACACCTTGTGACATACAAACTTCAGGATAAACTGTTCCAAATATTGACCTTGTTTTTCTTCTTCTTTTTTTTTTCACAAATAAACCAACTTTAATAGATATTATTTTGTATTTATATAGCGCCTTCTTTAAGAACCTTAAATGCTGTACAGACATTATCTCTAATTAATCCCCACAACAACCCTGTGAGGTAGGTATTACTTCCATTTTACAAGACAGGGAGACTGAAGCACAGAGAGGTTAAGTGACTTGCCCAAGGTCACACAGTTAAATTCACTGAAGAGCCAGGACCTGAGCGCTTTAACCTCCCGGCTCCCAGCCAAATACCTCATGAGAGAACCTTTAATAAAAAGTATTTTTAAAGAAAGTATCAAGAGTAGTATGTTATGAAAATGAGGTCTTTCTACTGCCATCAAGGAAAGAAAAAACCCTATACTGATGGTTAGAGGCCACAAGACCCATATAGTACATTTCCTTCTCCCCAAAGCCTCTGGTTCCCGTCTTAAATAATCTTCCAAAGGTAAAGTTTCCAAGACAGAAGCCACGTGGCTTAGAAGTGGGACTTAATTTAGAATATTTACTTTTAGTTACGATAATTTATAGAAATTTTTATTCCAATATACAAAATATGGGACAGACATCCCAATAAACATATACATAGTTACACAGCAATCAGCCGCCACCTACAACTTACACCTGCCCTCATTTAATCACAGTCAACCAGCACACAACCTCACGATGCTTGCTTTATGGGTCACTTTTCTTACTTACTATACCTGTATTTTTTTCTCCCAAACCCTGACCCTTTAGTTTTAAAAGTATACTGAGTTTCTGATAAGCTCCAAAACATTTTACTTAGATCCAGCTGCACTAAGAGTAAAAAGTAAATTTAAAACCATCACCACAGTCCCTCCCCTGATGAATCATACTGTAAGTACAGTGCAGATGTGAACAAAGTGTGCAACTACCATAGAACTCAATACAAATGCTAGAACTTGCTTTAATATGAAATTTAACTTGCCTTTCACTGCATGGTTTCTTAAAATGCAAAAACATAAAAAACACAACATAGTATTTCAATGCTGTACCTTTATGCAAATGACTTCATCTATCTTTCTTAGACATGCTGTGGTCTAGCTGATGTTAATTAAAATCGACTCAGCTTCACTTTACTCTTTTTCTCTGTACTGAAAGCTGAAAAAATACAGCTTTAAATTCCAAAGCAATTTGGTTTAAGCCTTCAAAATAAAAAAGTGTACATCCACTTCTACTGCTCTGACTTTGCCCACGTTCTTGGTTGGGATTCTCTGTGTAGTGTTGGTAGATCAGGCAGGATATGTGTAATCTGTACAAAACAACTCCAGCCAGGGTAAGGCTTAAGAAACTGAATCTTAAAAAGCAGTTTATCAAAATATTTTTGATATTTAGTACAAATACTAATACCATAATTTTCTCCCAGCACATCTGTTTAGGCAGCCCAGTTAGCTAAATGACCCTGTGAAAGATCTGTTTATGAAATGTTTAGGTGAAGTCATTTCCTGAGCTAAAAGATACTGATAAAAATGTTAATAATAGCAGCAGACAAAAAATATTCTTTTTTGTTGTTTGTTTTCCATAGTTAACAGTTTTAGCAAAATAAAAGAATATTTTAAAAAATTACTTCCTGAAAAAGAGTTTGATAGAGAATATCAAAGGCCTGATTGCTATTCTTTTGAATATAATTTTTAATTATTTCTTCAAGTTACATTCGGCCACTGTCAGATAACTTACTGGTGCATGGAAAAATGTCAACTGCAATGGTTTACATACATTTTACATTAAATATATTACTTCTTAAAACCCCCAACAGAATGAAGTCTTAAATACAAATTTTAATTTCTGAATACTCTTCCAGTAAGATTTGTAAAGGCAGGGGGGAAAAAGACTTGTTTTTTGTTTTACTGGTCTACTTCATTAAAATTTAATCTTCAAAAGGGTTTTTAGCTTGCTATCCAGATTGCTACGATTATGACAAACATATTACTTTTTTCCAGAGTAAAAAAATGACATTTGAAAATAACATAACTCCTATGACATGTATTTTCCAAGCACGGCCTCGACTTAAAATTTTGAATACTTAAGAATTCTAAAGATTGGTATATCACCACTGCATCAGAATTTCTTTTATTATGCCAACTACTAGAGGGAACTTTTTGATAGTTTTTTATTTTACTGAAATTAAAGCTCAATACATAACTGACTTATAAACTATAGTAAAAGGACAAATATTTAGCCAGAGATATCAGTTCCTCCTGAAAAAGAATATTCACCTCCTCTCATTGCAAGTTTTCAAGGTATCTTACCGATTTTAGATAGAATTTAAAGTTCACCTTAAAAATAGAACAAACAAAAGGACTAGTTAAACTGACATAAACTAAGAAAAATGTGCTCAAATTTACTGACAGAATCATGGGCACTTCATACAATACTTAGACTCTACCAGTTTTAAGTAAAATAAATAAGGAAAAAGTTATAATTACAAAGCCAGTCTTTCCCCTTGGGGAAACAAAAAGCCACTTTTGACCAATTGTTCCCTACATATACATATACTGTATATTATTATAAGCTTCTTCAGAGAAGCAAAACATATTTGTCTTCCTGACACTGGATTATCTAGCATTTGTTAGTTTTTTACATCAGGAAGGCAACTGCAAGTGTTGGGCCCAAAAGTATTTCTGGTTTACTCTTGAAAAGACCAGTAAATATGCTTTTATACATAACTGAACACAGACGAATTTATGCAGCGTGTTCAGCATCATCTCCTTAAATTATCAATACAAGCTAGCACAGATTCCAATTCCTTCTACTGCACCCCCAAGGAACTCAAATAATTACTGGTGCAATTAATGAAGAGAAGATGTGTGTCAGTAACTGGAAGGCTGTTTTACAAGAGGAGCTGGTATCTCTGCTTTCACTTCCTTGTCATATGGAACTGTACGGACAGCATGATACCTGAGCAAATAAATCGACTACCATGATCGGAAGGGCTTGTTATCCATCGTCTTTGCTTCACTGTGTGCAAAGTGTGCTGCTGCCCCCTGAGCTTCCTGCATTTCTCTTTTTGTGAAAAAACAGTGCTTGATCCTTTCCAAAATAACCAGAGAAGAAATGAGGCAGAAAGTATCTTTTCATCGTGATTCCCCCTCAGTCCCGAGACTGGTAGAAAAGGATGTAACCAGACTCAGAGTTCTTTGAGATGTCTGATGTCAACCTGTAGAATTCTTCAATAGCTTGTGCATCTATTTTTTCTACAATGTCGTCATCGAACAACAACCAAAAATCATGACTTTTAACTATTGCAATATAATGGCCTCGATTGGGACCACTTCCACAGTGAACCACAACAGCAACAAGGTCATACATTCTGTCTGGATTGGTTGCATCGCCTGAAGTGTTAAATAGACGAAGTTCTAAAGGAAAAACTACCCGGTAAGAAAGTTTTGTATATCGATGAAGCTGATCCATATATTTGAATCTCTTCAGGTGTAGAGCTAGAATCATGGGCAGTTTTTTAACTTTCATCCGTTTTTGTGCTTCCTGTTTGCTGCGACACTCTTCACAGTAATATTTGTATTCACTGCAGAGAGTTTCTGTGTTGCTAAAACCCCTTAAGCAGTGAGTAATTGATGTGTTTTGTTCCACGTCAACAGAAAGATCTAAAAAATCTTCATCTTTGCTGCTTATAGTTTCACAAGTAAGACATCTGGTTTCATTAGTTAATGTTCCCTGAAAAATCTCATGAACCCACGTTGGGTCTGGTGTGCTGTTGTTATTTTCACTATCAATATTACCATTAGGTAAGCGACCACTTTGTTTTTCCTGCTTCCTCTCTTCTTGTAAAATATCAGCAATTGTATTTAGCAGGTAATTTAAGAATTCATGGGCATCTTGTTGCATGTAGTTGTCAAAAAGCTCATTTTCTTTCCGTAACCTTGTTATGAACTTCTTAGGAGGTATTACTCCAACCTTTTTCTTCTGAGTGGCTATGCTATGGAAGAGATCTGCTAAGCATGTAAGAAGGTTCTCCTTCTTCCTGGGTTGACTCTTGTAGGCTAGAACTTTTTCCCGAAACGGACGACAAAAATAAAGTGCTTGAAGAACTGAACTGCAGTAGCAGGTATTCCCAAAATTGACTAATCTAAAATAGTGCTCATTGACTGGAAACTGTTCTGGACCAATCTCTTTCTCTAATGCCGAAGCGAAGCATTGGCGCCCATGGTACAGATGGAGGCGAATTTGGAGACTGTCATTAGGATTTCCATCCGCCCAGCGCCATCTTCCACCCAATCACGGCAGCGGTGGGCGGGGGAGGAGGGGAGCCGGGCCGCTCACTCGCACTGCAGCCCGCGGGCAGACCCTGAGCCGCCGCGGCTCCGCGGACACACGCTCCGGGCCTGCTGGGCTGCCGCTGCCGTCGTCGTCGCAGCCAGCGCTCAGGCACTCCCGGCCTCGGCCTCGGCCCCAGCACCCGCCTGCCGGCCGGCCGCCCGCCCGCCTGTTTTTCTTCTTTTTAAAAGTTACTTCCACTTTAACTGAAGATGCTTTGAGTTTAACATCTAGATACCTCAGCTGGAGGGCATCCAGGCCTAAAGAAACTAGTTTATTTTAATAAAAAAACACTTGATACATTCATGAGGATTGCTAACCCAACCTCAAACAGAATAAAAATTAACTAGTTGAGATTACTTTATTTGACCTTTTGTTTAAAACAGTGCTGATTATTTTTTGTGCTTCGTTTTTCAGAAGTCATGAAAACCTTTTTTCCTTGTTTGAACTATTTATAGCTTAACAGAGAGAAGGGCCTGAAGGGAAAAAAAAAGATTTTCTATCTCTTTAAAACTTCCCTCACTCTTTTTGGGCACTGCAGCCTGGCCTGCATCCCTGAGGCAGTTTAAGTCCTTTGTTAAAAGAGAAAACTCCCAGGTGGTGCCAGTCCTAGGTAGGCAGCTGGCTGACTTCACAGGCTTTGTCTTTCCAGAGATGGAATGATTACAACAGCTAACCACAATATCTTAGAACTGAGGGGCCCCTCCTTTAAAAGCTCTGTATTTCTACCTATGTTTAGGAAATTTGGATTTTGAGATGAGAAAGTCTACCATTTTTCTTCTTTTGCCAGCAAAGTAATCTCTTTCCTCCTCCCCAAAACACTTGTCCTCATTCTTCTGATTCGTCCTTGTGGACAAGTGCCAAGTTTTTGGTAACATAGCTTACAACAAATTGGGGAAGTATATTTTTGTGATCAATTTTTGAAGCATTTGTTTTTCTCCCTACTTGATTTCTCCAGAATTTGGAAACTATTTGTAAGTATTCTTATTTTATGGCAATATACTTATTTGCATAAGTTCAATAAGAATCTTTTAAAAAGAGGACAAAATTAGAGACACTGGTTATTTTACCAAGGCTTTGATTGGAATGGCACATTTTCAGATATGCCCAGATTAATTTGAGGAATTAGGTTAAATTTATAAGGCCAATAAAAGCCCTTTGAGAAAACTAGCCTGGTACCTAATTTATGACATTTCAAGGTCTGTGGTAAGTAAAGAATGTCACTTTCTGACAGGTCCAGGAATCCCAAGCTACATTGGGACCTTGAAAATGGACAATTTACTCAATTCATACATATATTTACAGATGAAGTTAAATCCTTGGCTTGGCTTGAGAGGTCTTTAAATCTAACCTAGGATTCCTTATGAAAAAGTTCCAGCAATGCCAATTTTATAAAAAAGAAAAGCAAAAGCCTATATGGCCAATAACTATTCTTGCTGTACTTTATGCAAATATTCAAGCAAAGTATAATGAGGCTAAAATTTAGTTTGCAAATAAATTTGTCATACTATGATTTGTCTTTAACAAAAATGAGAAACTAGAGAGAGAAAATTAATGTTTCACAAAACTTTTATTATTTGCCTACAATTTTTTTTTTTTTTTTTTTTTGAGACAGAGTCTTGCTTTGTTGCCCAGGCTAGAGTGAGTGCTATGGCATCAGCCTAGCTCACAGCAACCTCAAACTCTTGGGCTAAAGCAATCCTTCTGCCTCAGCCTCCTGAGTAGCTGGGACTACAGGCATTCGCCACCATGCCCGGCTAATTTTTTCTATATATATTAGTTGGCCAATTAATTTCTTTTTATTTATAGTAGAGATGGGGTCTTGCTCTTGATCAGGCTGGTTTCAAACTCCTGACCTCGAGCAATCCGCCCGCCTCGGCCTCCCAGAGTGCTAGGATTACAGGCATGAGCCACTGCACCCGGCCTGCCTACAATTTTTGACATTGGTCCTTCTTGACTTAAGTTTTTCTTGTCTCTGAGGGACATGATCTAAAAATGAGCCTTCCTAGCACTGTGGAATTAGGTGAAAAATACAACCACGAACTCATGTCTTCTACAATGCTTTTTCTGAAAGATTTTTGAAGAACAGGGGGGAATGTAAAAAGAAAATCAAACTCTCAGGCTCATCCCCCCAATACACACACACACTCCTTAGCAAAAGAGAATGTAAAGGCCTCAGGCACCTGTGAAGAACAGGCCCCACAGATCATTCATTAAGGACATTCCTTGCTGAACTCCCATAAGCAAGGACAAATTGTAATTATGCCTAGAACCGAAAACTAAAGCCTGTTTAATTCCACACTAATAATAAATTACAAGTTTATCTTTACAGGTAACCAAACAGGAGACATACAGGATCAGGCATTCTACCTACCCAGGGACATCTACATAACTGATGCTTCCTTCATTCCCTTTTTACTTCTAACATTCCCCTTATTTTACATAAAATATAGATTTGAATGTAACCATTTTGCCTCACCAACCCCTCTTCCCTTGCTTTTTTTCTTTCTCTCTGTATGCCTTTAAATACTGAAGCTTCCAACTTCCCCTTCAGAAAAACAGCCACAAGTCTGTCTGTGGTTCATATTTTTCTCAGGCACATCTTTAATAACCCCCCCTTAGTTGAGATTTTTGCCTCAGTCACTTATTTGGGTCAACACTTCCATGCTTCACCTGAGCCCCTAGAAGTCTCATCAGCTCACTTGCAATTGGAAAAGGATATAAAACAACAGGAGCCTCCACCCCTAGAAATGGAAGCAAAAGGAAGAGGGAATTCCCTAAATATTTTGCTAGGGTCCAAATGGTCAAGAAGAATTATAGGATCTTTGGTCAACCTAGGCCAACATAATTACTCCTGCATAGAGAGGGTGGGAGCAAAAAATAACTGAATACCAAGTTCTTCAAATCCACGTCATTCCGCCTCGAGCAACCTGAGACCCACTGAGGTGAGCCAGCCAGTTACCCTCCCAGTCATCTCAACTGACATGGCCTCTGTCACTTTCTGCTGCCCCCACTATGGCTTACTACTCCCTCTCAGGCCTGCTCCTCAGGCCTTAAGCTGGATGAGGCTTTTGGGCTGGGCTGGACTCGGCCTGGCTCCATGAGAATACATAAGAGGCAATGACTCCAGAGTAAGAGGGGAAATCCAGGTACTCAGCCCATCTCAAGTTATGAGCCAATGTCCCTTGAGAGCAACAATTGTAGCCAAGACAACACAGATAACACTGACAAGGGTGCCCAGAGAACTGAAGACCCCTTTAGGTGATATTCCCATTAGAGCTCATAGGAGATGATGTAGCAATGGATACATCAATACATCCTCCTTTTGATGAATGTTTTAGTGCATTTATGTTTTTACTAAGAGCCTGAGAGGAATGGATACCACTTTGCCCAGCATCCCAATTCTAGGGCTCAAATAGCTTTTGGGTCTTCTTAGCATTTTTTCATTCACAAAGGGCAAAGGGAGAAGCCGGGATGGCTAGGGCGGTTGATATTTCGGATGCAACAATGCCATCAAGTGGAAGATTTCTGAGCATGGCTTCCAGCCCTTCTTTGTGTATCCAGAGGGAAAGGCCTCTGAGAGGACGAAGGGTAGGTTTGGGGCACTCTGGGAATTCTGGAGCTGGATCAAGCCACCCACTCAGCAAATCCAGAATTGTGTAAAAGTGACTGGGACAGGCCAACTACCAAGGAGCCCTGGGCTGCCAGGTTCCAGACGCTATGGAAGCCAGGTCTTAGGAACCTGGAGCTGAAGTGACTGCAGGGCATTTGCCTCTGGATCTTTGCTCTTGGTGCAGGAACAAGGTTGGGGAAAGAAGAGAGGGGCATTGTCCTAGGAGTGTGTCACAGGAAAACCAGGACCTGATGGCCCATCTGGAGGGCACAGGCCCAGCCAAGTAAATAGGAGACAGCCACGGCTACACTGCCAAGGGCAGCCTCTTCTAGAGAAGATGGAGAATTTCCTCATTATTAGGTACTACACTAAGATAAAAAAACAGTAACGTAGGTGCATTGCAGCTCATGTTTTCTGGTGTCTTCTTACTCCTGTCAAAGAAAGTCTGGGTCACAGGCCCCACAGGATGGCATTCCAAGCATCTTCTCCCATAGCGCAGATAGTGCTGGTACTTGCTGGGAATGGGTAGGTCAAGTTGGCTCTCATCCTCTGGAGTTGGGGGGCTCAGGTCTGTATTATGCATACAATTCAGTTTAGAAACATTCCAGTGATGATGTCTTCCTGATCCCCAGCCTTTGGGATTATGACCTTGTTTGTCTCCTTGGGTAAGACACTTGGGTTCAGACATGTAGAGGTCTAAGTTATCTGGGTCTGGCTGTCCCACAGGGTTGCCCCATGACTAAGGAGCACACTGAGACCACCATACTCACAGCTTTGGACTGGGGACCTGTTACTGAAAGCTCGGCACTTATCGTCAAGGCCACATCAGAAGAAGGAGAATAGTGGTTTGGGGAGAAGGAAAGAGAAGTTTATTACTTTGCCAACAAAGAAGGAAAAATGGTAGACGTTCTCATCTCAAAATCCAAATTTCCTGAACACAATCAGAAATACAGAGCTTTCAAAGAGAGTGCCCCTCAGTTCTGGGCTATTGTGGTAACTATTCTAATTGCCCGATCTCTGCCAAAGACAAAGCCTGTGATCTCTGCCAGCTGCCCACCTGGGAGGCTGGTGCCAGTGATGGCTGATTACCCAGGCCCATTCTGGCCACCTGCCTGAGGCAGGGATACAGGCTTCAGTTCTCAAAATGAGTGGGGAGAGTTTTAAAGAGACAGAAAACATCTTTTTGACTTTTTTTTTCCAGGCCAATTTCAGGCCATTCCCTCTGTTACATATTCCCACTATCAAATTTAAGCTTCCATATCTATGGGAGGAGGGGTGACTACTCTGTTACAGACCAATCAGATCCTTTAGGTCCACACCTTAACCTAGGGCTTGGCAAATAAAAGGTCCTTCAGTCCTAAAAGGCTCCGCTCATGTAAGACCACCGGGCGACACACAGGGAAACTCACGTATGTGAAATGGAGGGAGGCAAGGAGGACTTTTCAGCACCCATCTAGGAGTTGTGAAAGGAAAGGGGTGAGGTGCTAGGCCTTAAGTCTTCCTTCCTGACCCTTGGGCAAGCGCTGACCAGGGAGCATAGCTCAGGCAGGTAGGAGCTGGCAAAAGGCTTGATGTACCCCAGGGGTTCTCCAGAAGTAGCTATTGGTTGGTCAAGGTCTATGAGAAAGGGCTGTGTGCCCAGGTGTATGTACGTCGTTGGCAGGTCTGATTGAAGGGGAGTGCATCTGGGGAACATGGGGTGATAGGGGCTGGGCACACAGGGAAAAATGGGAGGTGGTGGGGAAAGGGAGGTAGTATCTGAACCTAAGAGTGGTGAGATTAGGCAGGGTCTCCTGAGAATGAAGTATAGGGTTGGGACATGGATAGCCAGGGGTGAATGGAAAGCAAGGGACACCTCTGCTCATTGCCCTGATGCTCCCAGGACTTTTGGGGAAGGTGGCCAAGAAAGGAGAAGGCTACAAAGGCTGCGGCATAGAAGCCTGCTTCCCTTGGGTATAGGACCTGTAGCACTGAGGAGAGGCCTCTGGCAAAGTGCCAGCAACCCCTGGCCTCACAACTACAGGCTGCAAAAAGGCAGGAAGCAAAAATCCTACAGCCCCAAGTGGGGCTTCTTGGCTGAGGTTTCAGCTAGTCTCACCCAGATATGGCTGCCACTGGGCTCTGATGCTGGGCTTCCTGCACCCTATAGGACAGGCACCCTGGGTCTCCACCTAGTCCTACTGCATGTCTCTGGAGCTTCCAAAGCTCAGACTGGCCACAGAACACACTTCCCCCATGCATCTCTGAATCCACAGAGGGCCCTGTTGTGCTACCTGGAATTCCGACTTTACCCCAATTTCTGTGCTTCCCAGGAACCAGTGATAAAGAAGAGGGATATGGAATTGGCAAAGATGACCCTCTTGATGGCAATACTGCACCAGAAATGGTAGCATGCCCTTCACGCACTTTCTGATATCCTGTTACTCCACTATTTGCTACTGAAAAAAGTGCCAACCAATGTCTATCCTGGCTGAATCCTGATGGCTCTCAGTTCTCACAATGGGTCCTCCATCCTGCAGGGCTCTTTCTGGTAGGGTCATCTTAGGCTTCCTCTTCCATAAAGAGAAATGTCTCCCAATCAAGTCACCCTACAAACAGACCAAAATGCATCCACTCACAGCTTTATCTTTAGCACTGGATTTTGTCAAGAGTATAGGAAACACCTTGAGACTGGGTACAGAATTGAGGCCACACGCAACCAACCCCTTGCCCACAGGAGAATGTTCTGACTTCGTCATTGTCACGAGCCACTAAACAATCCGCTTAACTGAGAGATCTCAGGAAACCAGACACTAAGGGTGGCAACCCAAAGGCACCAGGCTGGGAGTGAACAGTGAGAAATCACCAGTATCCCTAGACAGTGTGTCCTGAGTACCTGGCTCCTCTCACATGATCTTCAGACAATAAGGGTCCCACACTTGGGCCACTCAGGAGGGGAGTCAGGTGCTACACCATAAACATGCACCCTCCTCCAACCTGACCCACTGTCAACGGCTAGACAAATCCCCCAAGAAGGCTTGTAGTGGAAAACATGAAAATACAGGTACACTTCTGAGGGCCCATGCATTTTACTTGGAGGAAATGATACCTCAAAACACCACATTTCCTCCATGTTCATCATGGTGCCAAGATACAGATATAGGGGTTATGGAGAGATTGTCCCTACCCTCTGCAGCCTGAACACCCTCTTTATGTTCAGGCAGAGGACATGGTGCAGTGAACTGGCCCCAAGACTGTTCAGGAGATGAATGTCCTTCATTGGATGTGGGCCTCAGTGCCAAGGTGATGGTCAAAACGTGGCAGTGTACATACACCCCACCCAGCCAACCGAGAGAGAGCCTTTAGGCTAAGATATCAACTCACAGGTCAACCGTGATTTCTGCACAAAGAATAGCATGAAGTCAACACTACTCACCTCTTGGAAATTGCAGATGGCATTCAGGGTTGTCACAAAGAGACAGTTCTACCGGAATAGTCCCCTGCAAAATCAAGAGGTTGCCTTCCCGTTAGCTCTCTGTTCTGTGCACACCATGGCCATCACACCTTGGCGTCTATCCTCATGCATATTCCCTCCCGGTGTCTGTACCTGTGTTATGTATGGAGAAGTAAACTTTGAAATAGCTTCACGAGGCTGTTTCTTCCACAGCCCATAAATGGAGTAACAGACCCTTAAGGGACCAGCAGCTTGTCTGGCTACAGAAGAAAGGGGAATCAGGTATTACCACTCTGGGTGCACATAGATCTACCACATTAACTTTCTAGGGATGAGAGCAAATCGTTCTTGGGGGTGGCCACATCTCATTCTACCCAGCTGCTGGCCTCTGGTTGGACACAGATACTAGATGATGTACTGTCACATACACATACACATACTCACTTGTCAGAACTAAGACTTTATATGCAGCTTCAAGGCCAGGTTTGTTTCAAAGAAAAGAAGAAGTGAAGAAGGAAAACAGAAAGTATGTAAACAGAAGAGACATGTTAAATAAATGATGCCCCTGCTGCTCCCAGAAAGACATACTGGTACTCCAAGCAGGGAAAATGGAAGGGATCGGGTAGGACATATGTACAAAGATCCTGGGTTGTGTGTTTCATGAAAGGAGCAAAGTGCAAGAGTCTACTACATGTAAGCCTGGTAGGAATTTGCCTACATTCACACTGTGTGCCGGAAGCATACACATCAGGAAAAATAACATCTAGTTCTAACTGTACAGAGAGTTGGTAGGACGCGGGGAAGGCAGCAGGACAGCTTGGGAGCAGACATCCTACAATGTTAATGGCTATTGCTTTAATTGGGAGAAATCTCTATCCACAGTGGCACCTCCCTGGTGGTTATGGAGAAACAACAAAGAGAAGAAAAGGAGGAGGCTGGGCACCGTAGCCCACGCCTGTAATCCTAGCACTCTGGGAGGCCGAGGCAGGAGGATCGCTCAAGGTCAGGAGTTCGAGATCAGCCTGAGCAAGAGTGAGACCCCCGTCACTACTAAAAATAGAAAGAAATTAATTGGCCAACTAAAAATATATAGAAAAAATTAGCCAGGCATGCCTGTAGTCCCAGCTATTCAGGATGCTGAGGCAGAAGGATTGCTTGAGCCCAGGAGTTTGAGGTTGCTGTGAACTAGGCTGATGCCACCACACTCTAGCCCGGGCAACAGAGTGAGACTCTATCTCAAAAAAAAAAAAAAAAAAAGAGAAAAGAAAAGGAGGAATACATACATACATAAACATAAGGAAGAAAGTAGGAGCATGTGTATATACACGTGCACATGCATGAATGAATGAATGAGTGAATGTGCGGGGACCGAGTGGAGAGCGCAGCCACACTTTCATGTAGAGCTTCCTAGAAAGGGATGCAGAACCCAAGGCCCTCACCAAGGTCCCTTGCCTGTATGGAGCCAATGGGTCCTTTTGCTGACTCATGGAACTCCAACCTGGAGCACTCAATGTAGTGTGATGGCCTGAGACACCTGGAGTTTACCCAGGCTTTATCCTCCCAGTCTTCACAACTTAAATGGTCTTTGTCAATTCCTGTTGCTCCCATGATGGCTTAATGCACCCTCTCAGGCCTGTTCCTGAGACTTTGTGCTGGGAGACGCTGCTTGGCCTGTCTCCCTGGTGCTAGGACTGGCCTTATGAGACTAGAAGAGATGTAATGACTGTGGAATATTAAGGGAAATCCAGGTACTCAGCCCACCTCTGGCTATGAGTCAATTTTTGGATAAGAGCAAGAATTCTATCGAAGGGGACCCATATAATATCCACAAGTGCCAACAGAAAACTGGGGACCCATTTACATGGTATTTGGACTAAAGGCTCTTAAGGAGATGATGGGGCAATGGACATATTTGATACATCTATTCCTTTGGAAGATCATGTTCACACAGATATTTATATTCTTCATCTGGAGCCCAAAAGGAAGGGACATCCTTTTTCACAGCACCCCAAATGATTAAACCACACTCCTTATGCTTGGATCAGTTTTGAGACTTCCTTGGTGGTGTTTTTCATCTACAAAGGGTGAAGAGAAAGGCCTAGGGGGCAGGTCAAAGACATTGCCATTTCTAGAGCAACAGTGTCATCAAGAGGAAGGTTTTTGAGCATGGCTTCTACCGGCTCTCTGTGTAACTGGAGATGAAAGCCTCTGAGAGGAGGAAGGGTGAGTGAATTCCCGGGCTGGACCTGGTCACTCCAATGGGTGAGTCCAGGTTCAATGTGAAAAGGACAGAAGCAGGCTTGTCCACTCAAGGAGCCCTGGGCTGACGGGCCTGCCAGGCTTGGGATCCATGGAGGCCAGGCCTTAGTGGCCACCATGTTTGGGAACCTGGAGCTGAAGCTACCGCAGGGCATTTGCCTCTGGATCTTTGCTCTTCATTCAGGAGCAGAGTTGAGAGAAGGAGGACCCCATCCTGAGAGTCAGGGCAATGGGGAAACTGAACTGATGTTTCATCTGCAGGATGCAGGCCCAGCCAAGTAAAGAGGAGACAGCAACAGCCACACTGCCAGGGGCAGCCTTTTATGGAGAGGTTGGAGAATTTCCTAATTATTGGGTACTAGACCAAGATAAGAAGCAGTACTTGGCCGGGCACGGTGGCTCACGCCTGTAATCCTAGCACTCTGGGAGGCCGAGGCGGGAGGATTGCTCGAGGTCAGGAGTTCGAAACCAGCCTGAGCAAGAGCGAGACCCTGTCTCTACTATAAATAGAAAGAAATTAATTGGCCAACTAATATATATAGAAAAAACTAGCCGGGCATGGTGGTGCATGCCTGTAGTACCAGCTACTCGGGTGGCTGAGGCAGGAGGATTGCTTGAGCTCAGGAGTGTGAGGTTGCTGTGAGCTAGGCTGACGCCACGGCACTCACTCTAGCCTGGGCAACAAAACGAGATTCTGTCTCAAAAAAAACAAAAAAAAAGAAGCAGTACTGCAAGTACATTTCGGCTTAAGTTTTATATGATTTGCTCTCACTCCCATAAAAGAAAGTCTTGATCAGAGGCCACACAAAATGTCATTCTGAGGATCTTCTCCCATTGTGCAGAGGGTGAGGCACCCACTAGAGATCGAAAGGTCAACTCAGCCCTCATCTTCTGGAGTCGGGGAACTCAGGGTTGGACTGGAAGGCAGGTGAAGGGGAACCTAATGAGGCCAGGCTGAGGGCAGTGGGACGGCTCCTCCTCCACATGGGCGAGAGGGTGCCATCCACCATGTTGGAGCCAGATTGGACAGTGGTTGGCGTTTTTTCCTCAGCCAAGGGCGGAGGGAGTGGACCTGAGGGAAGGGCAGGCAGGCATTTGTGGTACAACAGTGCCATCCAGAGTAACTTGTTTGGGGCTCCCACAAAGCCAGGCCTGGGGTTTCCTGAGGAGGAGTTGCTTGGGAGTGCAGTCAGGGGTCCAGCAGGAACAGGGTATGGGACTGGAATGCACTTCTGGTCAGAAGCATTCAGTGATGCCCTGTTACGCAGCCACTGGGTTATGACCTGGTTACTTTCTCTGTGAAAGATAAGTAGGTTCCCACGCAGGAGGGTCCATGTTCTGTCGTGCCACAGTATTGGCCTGGGCCAAAGGAACACAATGAGACCACCATAGTCACAACCTTGGGCTGTGGACAGACCAGATCCCATAGGTCTAAATTATGCCCCAGGGTTTGGCAAAGAAGAAAGTTGGTCAAATCCAAAAGGCTATGCCCACATAAGACCGCTGGACAACATACTGAGAAATTCAGATGTGTAAAGTAGATGGGGTGCAAATATTGAATTTTAAACACTCATCTGGGATATGTGAAAGAAAAGAAGGGCTGAGCCTCAAGACTTCCTATCAGATCTCTGGGCAAGCGGTGACCAGATAGCACAGCTGAAGATGGGTGTGAGTTGGCAAAGAACATGATGCACAAGTGTGGTTCTCTAGTAGCCAGCTACAGGGTGGACAAGTATATGATAAAGGTCTATGGGTAAAGCAGCCTTGACCTCCTTCGTGACTTGGAAGGTCTGATTCATGGGGATGAATCTGAGAGACATGGTAAGGAAGAGAACTGCGCTACTGCAATGGGAAAAAAAAAGGATGGGAGTGAGGAAGAGGAGTCAGATGAACTTTAAATTAGTGGCATTTAGGCAGGGTCACGTGATCATCTAGATTGCAACCTCCATGGGCAAGCACAGGGTTGAGATCTGGAGAGGCAGAGGTAAAGAAGAAACAAGGGCCATTGTTAGTCATTGCCCTGAGGTTCTTAGGACTTTTAGGCAAGGGGGCAAAGAAAGGAAAAGTCTGCAAAGGCATAGGCCCAGGTGATTGTTTCCTTGGGGATGAGACTTGCTAAAGTAACAACATCCTTTACAATAGTACAGGGAAACCTGGGAGGGGGCACTATGGCCAGCAAAGAGGCAGAGGCCAAATACCCACAGGTTTAGCCAGGGTGGTCCTGCAGTATTTCTCCAAAGTCTCGCAAAGACATGGCCGCCACCAAGCTCTAAACCCCAGATTGGAAGTCTGGCTGTCCACCTTTGCTGCCTGGCCTCGTTGCTTCCACAGCCCGACATGCCACAGGCCACGATTGTCCTAGGCTTCCAGAGAGCTCAGATGTGTCCGGGGTCCCATACCCTGTTCCTGCTGGACCCCTGACTGCACTCCCAAGCAACTCCTCCTCAGGAAACCCCAGGCCTGGCTTTGTGGGAGCCCCAAACAAGTTCCTCTGGATGGCACTGTTGCACCACAAATGCCTGCCTGCCCTTCCCCCAGGTCCACTCCCTCCGCCCTTGGCTGAGGAAAAAACGCCAACCACTGTCCAATCTGGCTCCAACATGGTGGATGGCACCCTCTCGCCCATGTGGAGGAGGAGCCGTCCCACTGCCCTCAGCCTGGCCTCATTAGGTTCCCCTTCACCTGCCTTCCTGACCAAAAGGGAAGAGTCCACCTGAAGTCCCCATAGCAACGCACTGGAACCTATCCAATGTCCACCTACGTCGTGACCACTGGGGACTCCATGAGGGCCAAGATCCACACTGGGCACAGGGTGGCTCCAACTGAAGCCCCTGCCGGCCATGAGACATTCTGACATGGGCACTCTCACAGGTCAGTTCAAGGCCACCTTCACCACCAGGTCCAGGGAGACCACTGGCCCACGGGCCTGTGCAGTGGAGCAAAGAGTCACAAGAAACTGTGAGCCCCTGACAATGGGCATGAGCACCGGGCCCTTCTCACTCTGGAAACCCTCAGGGCCTCAGGCATGGCGAGGTCAGACAGCACCAGATCCAGGTGCCACCCCCAAGACACCCGTTTTCCTTACGGGGAGCCCAGGTCCACCTCTGCACGTCTACCACCTGGAGGGTTGTCATGCAAAGCATATAGAGGTGTGCGGGCTCCTGTGGACTCGTGTGTGCTACCCCAGATCAAGACGAGGATGAGGCAGAAGTATTGCATTGTCTTCCCCCTAAATGGGTGTCCATGATCGCAGAAAAATTGACCATGTCGGAGCATATTATAGAGAGGAATAACCCCCACACGTGCCCAAAGAACACACTGTCCAGGACCACAGCTCTGTAGACGAGACAAGGGAAACAGGAGGGACTCGGTACAGCTACCCTCCTGGCCTCCCTGTCCACCTCCTCAACGTGACCCCAAAAAATGTCAGTGAAGAATTCCCTCTCACTCACTTTCCATCTCCCCATGCCCTGTCTCTCTGTCTCTCTCTGCCTATCTTCCCAGTCATCTGTTTTCTTTCTCTCTCTCTCATTATGAATTCTCTCTCTCTCCCATGCCCCACTTGCACCGTGTGTGCCTCTGAGCCTGTGGGGGGGATGTGTATATACCTGTGTGTGTGTGTGTGTGTGTCTGCATGTGTAAGCACCTCCTGCTTGCTCCAAGGCCACAAGTCTAGGTATTGCCCCCAAAACAGTACAAGTGTCATTGAAGGGGTTAGAAATCGTTCCACTAGACCGAGAGGCGTCAACGCAAACATAATGGAGCCGAAGCCCCAGGGCGCCACCTCCACAGATGCCCCCTGGCCATCCTCCACCAGCTACCCCCTGAAGAGCCCCTCCCAGATCCCCAAAGCCAGGGCCAGCCAAGTGAAACTCTGACGCTGTCCTCTGGTCCTGAGATTTCAGGCCCATGCGCCACAGCCAAACTGTGCCTGTCAGGTTTTGTGGCAGTCCACCTGGACTCGGGCATAGAGAAGCACACGTCTTGGCAGCTACCTCTCTGTGTACAGGAGGTGGGAAGGGAGGACTCGCCTGGGGGATCTTTTCTCCTTTTGTCACTGTGGAAAAGACGCCATGCTCCTCAGCACTCAGCTCCCAGAAGCTGAATACCTCACTCTACCTTCATTATCCTCCTCCCTTGAGAAACAAGACCTCCCACCTGTGACCTCGAGAGGGTCCCCTGGTCCCCCACCACGCTTCCATTCTGCAAGGCAATGCCCGGCTGAGGGACACCGGCTTAGACAGGCGCCTCATTTCCCTCCCAAGACCACTTCTCAAAGTTCTGGGGGCGGGGGGAGGGGGGGGCAAGAAAACAAGCCCCAGTGGGCCGGGCCTCTGTCTTTCCAGATGGGTCCTGCAAGGGGATACATCCTCCAAGCTCCGGCCCGGCCAGCAAGGTGGACATGGCTAAATGCTGCCCCCTGGGCTCACAGGAGGGGACGCAGAGCGGTGCCAGGGCGGAGGCGCCAGGGCCCACTACCATTTGCTATGCTGCCTGAGCCTGCCCTGCCTCTGCCTTCTGCCACGCAGCAGTCCCTCACTGAGCCAAACCCAACCGCTCCGTCCTTCTGGACGCTCTCGGCTTCCTGCCCTTTGGCAGCCTCAGCGGGACTCCCTTCCTGCCCCGTGGAAACCCACAGCCTCCCTTGTCCAAAGCTTGCTGCCTTAGCCATTTGTCCTCTCCTGATGACAGAGCAAAGAGCTGCGTACCCCCAGAGCACACAAGCAGGGACAGTGCAAGGTGCAGAGCCACAGATGACCACTGGGGGACAGATACAGCTCCAAGACTATGGCCGGTGGCTTGGGACATGCACTTGACAGGGAGAGGAAACAGGGCGGCACCATAGAGCAAGTGGCTTGGGGCTGGCTTTGCATCAGTGGTCGCCTCAGCGGCCAGACTGGGTACGGGGCCCCTCCCAATGCCATAGAGCCTGGCCTGGCCTGGGCCCACCCATCTGCCTTCTTCCCACGCCTGAGAAGGAATGTCTCAGCCCTGGCCTCCACGACTGCCAATGGCTGGTGAAATCCTGGGCTGGGAGCAGTTCTTCACATGGGTGCACCATGGACAAGGCGCCACCTAGGCCGGACCCCCCCCCACCCCTTACTCCTAAGGGAAAGGGCACCCAGCAAGCTGCCAATAGCCATGAGCCCTGGCTCTCACTAGTCCCGCCCAGACATGGCCGCCACCAGGCTCCACAGCTGGGACTTCCTGTACAGGCACACTAGGCGGCTGGATGTACACCTTGGCCTGCCGCTTGGCCCTGGTGCTTCCACAGCCTGACCAGACCCTTCCCCGAGGCCTCCAGAGAGCTTTGACCTGTCCAGGGTCCCGTCCCCTGTCCCAGCTGGACCCGGATTACACTCCCAAGCCACGCCTCCCCAGGAAATCCCAGGCCTGGATTCACTGGAGCGCCAAACAGTTTCCTCTGGATGGCACTGTTGCACCACAAATGACCGCCCGCCCTTCCCCAGGTCCACTCCCTCCGCCCTTGGCTGAGGAAAAAAACGCCAACCACTGTCCAATCTGGCTCCAACATGGCGGATGGCACCCTCTGGCCCACTTGGAGTAGGTGTCATCCCACTGCCCTGAGGCTAGCCTCACTTTGATCCCCTTCACCTGCCATCCTGACCAGAAGGGAAGAGTTCACCGGCAGTCCCCCTAGCAACACACCGGAACCTACCAAATGCCAACCTAAGTTGTGAACACTGGGGGCTGCGTGAGCACCTAGATCCACACTGGGTACAGGGCTGGTCCCAACCCCAGCCCCTGCCGGCCAGGAGACATTCCAACTTGGGTGCTCTCACAGGTCAGTCCAAGGCCACCTTCACCACCAGGTTGAGGGTGACCATCTCCCAGAGTTACCTGGTAGGAAGCAAGCAGTCAGGACATACTCTAAGCCAAGGACAGAGGGCCCTTCTGACTCTGGGAGCCAGGGTCATTCAGGTATGGCTAAGTGAGACAGGACCACAGCTAGGTGCTACCTGAAGACAACCGTTTTCCTCGGGTAGAGCCTAGGTCCATGTCCAGACAGCTCCTACCAGGAGGCTTCTCGTGCAAAGCATATAGAGGTGTGCATGCTGCTACGGACTTGCCTATGTTAGGCCGAATACGGACAAGGACAAAGCCAAGGCAGAATTGTTTACATTTTCTTCCCCATAAGTGGTGGGTACTCTAAAAGATATCTGTTACTATGTGAGAACTGATTAAAAAGAGGAATACCCCAAAACACATACAAAAATGCAAACTGCTTAGGAGCCTTCTCTGAAATGGCCATGGGCCATGTCTCCCACTTACCTTTAGCTGTGTATCTGCAGGTGACCGTGTCCTTCATCCTGTTAGGACCTTGTGTTGACTCCAATGCCACTCATCACCATGAGGCTACAAAAAAGAAGGGGGTCATGTAATCGGTAAAGACAATTCTGTAGGGTCATCTTTGACTTCAACAGAAATTACAGAGTAAAACCCCTACTCATTTCTAGGCAATTGCATGAAGTCATTTGGGGCTGTAATAAAGAAGCAGCTCTCCGCGAACTATGTATCTTGAAATAAGGGAGACTTTACCCTTGGCTTTCTGTTCATTGACAACTACAACCAGCCTACCTTGGGTGTCTATCCTCACAAAACTTCTTAGTATCTGTACTGTGTGACTATGGAGAAGTATATGTCAAAATATTCAAATGAGGACGTTTCCTAACCTCATATTAATGGAGTAACACAACCTCCAAGGATCTGTAGCTCATCTGGCTAGAAAAAGAATGGGAAGCAGGTATCTGCAGTCTGGCTGCACACAGATCCACCACACTGCCTTTCTAGACATGAGGGCGAATAATTCTTGGGGGATGGCTGCGTCTCAATGCACTAAGCTGCTGGTTTCAGGGTGGACACAGACACTACCCCATGTACTTCTCAGTCACACATCATCACCCTGTCAGAACTGGGACTTAATACCCAGACACAAGGTCAGATCTATTTCAAAGAAAAGAAGATGGGAAGGAACAAAACAAAACCCAAGTGTCCGACATGAAGAGACATGGCAAACAAATGATCCTGCTGCTATCACCCCAGGCAGTGGTTACAGGGGAAATGGAAAGGATCTGGCTGGATGTTGACTCTGCACACATGTGCAAAGGCCAAGGGACGTGTGTTTTATTCCATATCAGCCTGGCAGGGTCAGAGAGAAGGCTGAAAGCAGACAAACTTGCACATTTTCATTCATCTGCACAAGACATGAGATGCAAACATGCATGAGAAAATTGGCATCTACTTCTCACTTTAGGGAGGGATGGTAAGATGGGTAGAAGACAAAGGCAGAATTTGGGATTGCACATCACGCAATGAAAAGGACTGTCTCTTTAACTGGGAGAAATCTCTATGCACAGTGGTATTCCCAAGGTTTTCATGGGAGAAAGAATATCAGAAAGAAAAATAGAAAAATGGACACATATTTAGGGAACATAGTTTGGGTGTGTATACACACAGAATGATTGTGTGAATGAATGTGTGGGGTGAGTGGACAGCACAGCCACATTTCCATGTAGAGTTTGCCATGAGGGACTGCAGAATCAAAGGCCCTTTCCGAGGTCACTGACATGTGTGGAACCACAGGGTTCTTCTCCTGAACCTTGGAACCCCAATCGGGGCTACTCAAAGGGGAGTGACTACCTGAGTCCCTGTAGGTGACCCAGGGCTACATGCTTAGAGTCTTGTCCCCTCACACGGCCCCTGTCAATTCCTACTGCTCCCACAGTGCTCAACTGCTACTCCTTCTCTACAATACTCCTAAGACAGTTTGCTCCTGGAATGTGCTTGGCTTGGCCCCTTGGGGCTAGTAGCCCTGGCTTCCTGAGGACAGAATGCAGGTAATGACTGCAGCTTAAGAGGGGAAATCCAGATACTCAGCCCATGTCAGGCTATGAGTCAATATTCACTTAGGAGCAACCCGCCTACTCAGGAGGAACCTCATAATACCCACAGGTGTGACCAGAAAACTGAGTACCTCATTATAGTAATTCTGGCTCAAACCTGATGAGGGGATTTTGTATCGATGGATAAATTTGTACATCTACACGTTTGGATGAACATTTTCACACAGACATTTATATTCCACACCAGAGCCTGAAAAAAGACATTCCTTTTTCCTCAACACCTAAAAAGAATAAACCCCACTCTTAGGGCTTGAATCCCTTTTTTTTTTTTTTTTTTTTTTTTTTTTTTTTTTTTTTTTTTTTTTTTTTTTTTTTTGAGTCTCACTTTGTTGTCCAGGCTAGAGTGAGTGCCGTGGCGTCAGCCTAGCTCACAGCAACCTCAAACTCCTGGGCTCAAGCAATCCTCCTGCCTCAGCCTCCCGAGTAGCTGGGACTACAGGCATGTGCCACCATGCCCGGCTAATTTTTTATATATATATCAGTTGGCCAATTAATTTCTTTCTATTTATAGTAGAGACGGGGTCTCGCTCTTGCTCAGGCTGGTTTTGAACTCCTGACCTTGAGCAATCCACCCGCCTCGGCCTCCCAAGAGCTAGGATTACAGGCGTGAGCCACAGCGCCCGGCCTTTGAATCCCTTTTGAGCATTCTTTGGTGTTTTTTCACCTATAAAGGGTGGAGGGAGAGGTCTGGGAGGACAAAATGTGGGCATTTCTGGAGCGACAGTGCCACCAAGCGGAAACTTTTTGAGTATGGCTTCCAGCTAGTCTCCGTGTACACTGACAGGAGGCTTCTGAGAGGAGGAAGCATAAGTTTGGGGAAATGGCGAATTCTCGGGCGGCACCTGCGGACCCCACTGGGTGACTCCCGGTTTAATGAGAGAGAGAGGAGTCAGGCTGGGCTACCAAGGAGTCCCCGGCTGCCCAGTCTGCCAGGCTCGGGAGTCCCTGGAGTCCAGTCCTCGGCGGCCGCCATGTTTGGGAACCTATGGCTGAAACTACCACAGGATTTGCCTCCAGATCTTTCTTGCTGATACAGGGGCAACATTGGGGAATTAAGAGGGACACTTTCCTGGCAGTCGGGGCCACTGGGAATTCCGGACCTAATGGTCCATCTGAAAAATGTCGGCCCAGCCGAGTAAAGAGGAGGAGCCAGCGCCAGAATTTCATGGGCAGTCTCTTGTAGAAAGGATAAATATCCTCATTACTGGGTTCTATAACAAAATAAGAGAGGGTAACACAGTGCACGGCCCTCCCCCCAAGTTCTGGCTAATTCCTTTTGCTCCTGTCAGAGAAAGTCTGCGTCACAGGCCCCACAGGATGGCATGCTATGCATCTTCTCCCATTGTACAAAGCGTACCAGCATCCACTGGGATCCACAAGTCAATGTGGCCTCCGTTCTCTGGAGCTGGGGGACACGGGTCTGTATTGCTCATGCATTACAGTTGAGGAACATTCCAAATGTCCCCTGTTCCCTGGCCTACAGTGGCATGACATGGTCTTTCGTCTCCAGAAATATACCTGGGGTCACACATACGGAGGAGTATGTTCTCAGGGTCTGGCTTTCCCAGAGCACAGGCCAGGGAAATGGAGCAAACAAAGACTGATAAAAAAGACCTTCATCAACCTAATACTAACCTATCACCTGGCTTCTGCAATCTTGCTTACCTATTGCATCAGGCACCTGAGACCCCACCCCAGGAAACACCCTAGCATAATAAAAGTGGATGAAACCCCCTACATGGAACTCAGAATTTTGTGGCAAGTCACCTCTGAGCCTGCTGGTGAATAAACCTTGATTCTCCAACTCTCTGTGTGCTGCTCTGTTTGTCCTCACAGCCACCCGCTTTAGCACTTGCTGTAACAAGAACGACAGACTCACAGTTTTTGGTGGGGGTGTGATCACATCTTCTAGATCCATACCCTGACCAGTTCATCAACAGAGAAATAGGTCAGTTGTCCCAAAGTCTCAGCGCATATAGATGGCCTGCGCATGAATTCAGGAAACTCATGAGTGCAAAATATCCGAGCCCCAGCAATAATTTTTAGAAACTATCCAGTAGGTATGAAAGAAAAGGAGTGCAGTCCTGGGCCTACCGTATCCTTGGGCTACCGTTGAACAAGTAGCAAATATACTGGCAGGTGGGAACTGGCACAGAGAATGACCCACCACAGTGGTTCTCTAGTAGCAGGCCATAGGTCGTAAAGGTCCATGGAAAGCCCTGTGTGCCCAGGAGTATTTCACATCATTTCTGGCCTTTCCAAGTCTGACTGATGGGGGTGAATCTGAGAAACTCAAGAATGAAGGGGGACTGTGGATAGAGCAACGGGGAGAAAGGAGGGGAGACTGTGACTGAATCTACAGTGATGACATTTACACAGGGTCACTAGACCTTCTTGATTGCAAACTCCCCGAGCAAGCACAAGGCTGAGACCCAGAGATATAGAGGGTACCAGGAAACAAAGGATGTTCTTGGTCATTGCCTTGAGGCTGTCGTGAATTTTAGGCAAGGTAAATGATGAAGGGGATGTCTGCAGAGGGTCAGGCAATTGCTCACTTGGCAATGAAGACTTGGAACGGTAAGAATAGTCCTCTGCAAGAATGTACTCACTGACACCTTGGCATGAGTATGACAACAGGAAGAGGGGCAGAAGTCAAACTGCTCATAGGCTTGAGGCCTGGTTCCCCAATAAAGGCTCTTGTTAGTTCCGGCCAGATATGGCCACCACCAGGCACCACATGGGTGACTTCCTGTACAGGCCTGCCAGGTGGCTGGATATCCACCTTGGCCTGCTGCATGGCCCTGGTGCTTCCACGGTCCAACCCTCCACGGGCCACCCTTCCCCGAGGCTTCCAGAGAGCTTTGACCTGTCTGGGGTCCCGACCCCTTCCCCCAGGTCCACTCCCTCCACCCTTGGTTGAGGAAAAAATGCCAACCACTGTCCAATCTGGCTCCAACATGGCGGACAGCACCCTCTCACCCATGTGGAGGAGGAGCTGTCCCACTGCCCTGAGCCTGGCCTCACTAGGGTCCCCTTCACCTGCCTTCCTGACCAAAAGGGAAGAGACCACCTGAAGCCCCCAGCAATGCACTGGAACCTACCCAATCCCCACCTACGCCGTGACCACTGGGGGCTGCGTGAGGGCCAAGATCTACACTGGGTACAGGGCTGGCTCCAACCCCAGGGCCTGCCAGCCAGGAGACATTCTGACGTGGACTCTCTCACAGGTCAGTCCAAAGCCACCTTCACTACCAGGTTAAGGGCGACCAGTGTCCCACAGGCCCATGTAGGGAGCAAAATGTCACAAGAAAATGTGAGCCCCTGACAGCGAGCATGAGCACTGGGCCCTTCACAATGCGGCAGGCTGCAGATGCTCAGGTGTGGCGAGGTCAGAGAGGACCAGACCCAGGTGCCACCCTTAAGATACCTGTTTTCCTCGCGCCCAGCCTAGGTCCATGTTGAGACAGCTCCCACCAGGAATCTTGCTGTGCAAAACACATAGAAGTGTGCGTGCTTCTGTGGATTCTGGTGGGAGGGAAAGACATGTCCCTTTTAGGTCCTTTGCAACGTTTTTCAATCCAAGGAAGATACCCTTCTCTCAAAAATTCAGCCCTTGGAGTCCCAACACCTCGCTCTGCCTGCAATTCTCCCTCCCTTGAGAAAGACATCCCACCTGTGTCCCCAGGAGGGTCTCCTGGGTCCCTTCCCACTCTTGATTTCCACAAAGTGGGCTTTAGTAAAACCTCCTTGGAAAAGCACCTCTCTTCCATGGAAAACTGGTTATTCAAGTTCTAGGAAGGAGAAGAAAACACAAGAGAATGGCCAGAGCCTCTGCCTTTCTAGATGGCATCTTGCAAAGGGACATGTACTCCTAGCTCTACCCCTGCAATCCAAGTCTGACTGAGCCTGATACTACCCATGGGACCATGTAAGGATATGGAGCAGAATGCAAGGGTGAAGGCGCCAGGACCCACCACCTTTCGCTATGTCGCCTGAGTCTGCCCCTCCTGTCCCTTCTGCCATGCAGCAGTCTCTCCCTGGGCCAAACCCAATGGATCTGTCCTTCTGGATGCGACTGCCTTCATGTACTTTAGCACGTTTAGGTGGGCACCCCTCCTGGCCAGTGGAAACCCAGAGTCTCCCTTGTCCAAAGCTTGCCACTATACCATTTCCCCACTCCTCATGTCACAGTGAAGGTATTGGTATGCTCAAAACACACAAATGAGGGAGGGTCCAAGGCATGAAGAACTGACAGGGGGAGTGGCCTTGTTCTAAGGCAATTGCCCGATGATTTGGGACATGGACAGAATAGAAAATGGGAGCAGAAGTGCACCCTACGTTGAATTCATTCCATATGGACTTACAACAGTCACCTCAGTGACAATCAGAGTGTGGGCCTAGCCACTCTGTTTTCTTCCTCAGGACAAAGAAACATCTCAGCTCTGGCTAAAAATAGCTGGCAATGGCTGAAGATCACCAGGGCCCAGTAATTCTTCAGTGGGGTAAAGTGTGAACAAGGAGACATTCAAGGCTGTCCGGCCACTTGCTCCTAAGGGAAGGGGGAACAGGCAAGCTGCCCACTTTCCTGGTCCCTGAGCTCAGGCGCCTCAGCACAGGCTCTCACTTGTCCCGCCCAGACATGGCTGCCACCAGGCTCCGCGGCTGGGACTTCCTGTACAGGCACGCCAGACGGCTGGATGTCCACCTCGGCCTGTGACCTGGCCCTGGTGCTTCTGTGGCCCGACCTGCCACTGGCCACCCTTCCCCGAGGCCTCCAGAGAGCGCTGATCAGTCTGGGATGCCAGCCCCTGTCCCTGCTGGACCCCACCTGCACTCCCAAGCCACTCCTCCCCAGGAAACCCCAGGCCTGGCTTTGCGAGAGCGCCAAACAAGTTCCTCTGGATGGCACTGTTGCACCACAAATGTACGCCTGCCCTTCCCCCAGGTCCACTCCCTCCGCCCTTAGCTGAGGAAAAAAACGCCAACCACTGTCCAATCTGGCTCCAACATGGCGGATAGCACCCTCTAGCCTATGGGGAGGAGGAACCATCCCACTGCCCTGAGCCTGGGCTCACTAGGGTCCCCTTCACCTGCCTTCCTGACCAAAAGGGAACAGTCTGCCTGCAGTCCCCATAGCAACGCACCGGAACCTACCCAATGCTGACCGAAGCCATGAACACTGGGGGCTGCATGAGCGCCTAGATCCACACTGGGTACAGGGCTGGCTCCAACACCAGCCCCTACCGGCCAGTAGACATTCTGACGTGGGCCCTTTCACAGGTCAGTCCAAGGCCACCTTCACCACTAGGTCAAGGGTGACCAGTGTCCAAGAGTTACCTGGCAGGGAGCAAGGAGTGCGGACAGACCTCAGCCCTGGACAGAGGACCCTTCTGAAGCTGGCAGCCTGTGGGGGTACAGGCATGGCTAGGTAAGAAAGGAGCAGAGACAGGTGCCACCCCAAGACACTCGTTCTCCTCACGCAGAGCCTAAGTCCATCTTTAGACAGCTCCTACCTAGAGGCTTGCCGAGCAAAGCACATAGAGGTGTATGTGCTTTTGTGGACTTGCCTATGTTAGGTCAGATATGGACGGTGACAAGAACAAGGCAGAATTCTTTACATTTTCTTCCCCATAAATGGGTGCGTATTCTAATAGATATCTCACTGTTACTATGTCAGGACTGATTAAAAAAAGGGGAATACCCCAAACCCTTGGAAAATGCAAACTTCCGGGGAAGACTTCTTTGAAGTGGCCATGGGCCATGTCTCCCCCTTACCTTTAGCTCTGTATCTCCAGGTGGCATCATCCTTTCCTTCATCCTGGTTAGACACTGTGTTGACTCCAATCCCGCTCACCCCCTTGATGGTACAAAAAAGAAAGGAGTCACGGAATTGATAAAGACAACTTTCTAGGGTAATCTTTTACTTCTGAAGAAACAAGAACAACAACAACAAAAAAATCAACCCTACTCATTTCTAGTCCATGGCATGAAGTCTTTTGGGGCTGTAATAAAGAAGCAGCTCTCCGGGAACTATGTATCTTAAAATAAGGGAGACTTTATCCTTGGCGTTCTGTTCACTGAAAACTACTACCAGCCTACCATGGCAACTATCCTCACATTACTTCTCTCCTGGTATATACTTCTCTCCTCTATGTGACTATAGAGATGTGTATGTCAAAATATCCTACTGAGCCTGTGTCCTCCACTTCATATTAATGGAGTAACACAGCCTTGAAAGACTGTTAGCTCATCTGGCTAGACAAGCACAAGAAGCAGGTATCTGCAGTCAGGCTGAACATAGATCCACCACAATGATTTTCTAGACATGAGGGTAAATAATTCTTGGGGGGTGGCTGCGTGTCAATGTACTGATCAGCTGGTTTCAGGGTGGACACAGACACTACTCCATGTACCTCTCAGTCACACATCCTCACCCTGTCAGAACTGGGACTTAATACCCAGACACAAGGTCAGATCTATTTCAAAGAAAAGAAGATGGGAAGGAACAAAACAAAACCCAAGTGTCCAACATGAAGAGACATGGTAATCAAATGATCCTGCTGCTATCACCCCAGGCAGTGGTTACAGGGGAAATGGAAAGGATCTGGCTGGATGTTGACTCTGCACACGTGTGCAAAGGCCAAGGGACGTGTGTTTTATTCCATATCAGCCTGGCAGGGTCAGAGAGAAGGCTGAAAGCAGACAAACTTGCACATTTTCATTCATCTGCACAAGACACGAGATGAAAACATGCATGAGAATATTGGCATCTACTTCTCACTTTAGGGAAGGATGGTAACAGGGGTAGAAGAGAAATGCACAATTAGGGATTGCACATCACACAATGGAAAGGGGTGTCTCTTTAACTGGGAAAAATGTCTATCCACAGTGGTATTCCCAAGGTTGTCATGGGAGAAATAATATCGAAAGGAAAAGGGAAATATGGACACATATTTAGGGAAGACAGTTTGTGTGTGTATACACATGAATCATTGTGTGAATGTGTGGGGTGAGTGGACAGCACAGCCACACTTCCATGTAGATTTTGCCTCGAGGGGCTGTAGAACCAAAGGCCTTCTCTTAGGTCACCAACATGTATAGAACCACAGGGTTCCCCTCCTGAGCCTGGGAACCCAAATCTGGGCTTCTCAATGGAGAGTGACTACTTGAGTCCCTGTAGGTGACCTAGGGCTACATCCTTAGAGTCTTGTCCCCTCACATGGACCCTGTCAATTCCTCATGCTCCCATAGTGCCCTACTGCTACTCCTTCTCTAGACTGCTCCTAAAGCAGTTTCCTCCTGGAATGTGCTTGGCTTGGCTCCTTGGGGTGAGCCCTGGCTGCCTGAGGAAAGAATGCAGGTAATGACTGCAGCTTAAGAGGGGAAATCCAGATACTCAGCCCATGTCAGGCTATAAGTCAATATTCACTTAGGAGCAACCCGCCTACTCAGGGGGAATAATATAAAACCCACAAGTGTGACCAGAAAACCGGGTATCTCATTATAGTAAATTCTGGCTCAAACCTGATGAGGGGATGATGTATCGATGGATAAATCCGTACATCTACACATTTGGATGAACATTTTCACACAGACATTTATATTCCACACCAGAGCCTGAAAAAAGACACACCTTTTTCCTCAAAACCTGAAAAGAATAGACCCCACTCTTAGGGCTTGAATCCCTTTTGAGCATTCTTTCGTGTTTTTTCACTTATAAAGGGTGGAGGGAGAGGCCCTGGAGGACAAAACGTGGGCATTTCTGGAGCGACAGTGCCACCAAGCGGAAACTTTTTGAGTATGGCTTCCAGCTAGTCTCTGTGTACGTTGCGGGGAGGCAAGTTTGGGGAAATGGGCGAATTCTGGGGCTGAACCTGCGGACCCCACTGGGCGACTGGAGGTTTAATGAGAGAGAGAGGAGTCAGGCTGGGCTACCAAGGAGCCCTTAGCTGCCAGGCCTGCTAGGCTCGGGAGTCCCTGGAGTCCAGTCTTGGCGGCCGCCATGTTTGGGAACCTTGAGCTGAAAATACCACAGAGGATTTGTTGCTGGATCTTTCCTGCTGGTACAGGGGCAACATTGGGGCATTAAGAAGGACACTTTACTGGGAATCGGGGCCACTGGGAAATTGGGACCTAAGGGTCCCTTTGGAAAACTTAGGCCAACTAAGGAATGAGGAGGGGTCAGCACCTGTAATAGAGTAGTGGAACCTCCTCCCATAGATATGGAAGGGTAAAATTAAGAGTGGTGAATAGGTAACAGGGTGTGGTCAGGAAACGAACAAAAAAAGGCTTTTGTGTGTCTTTAAACCTTTTGGCACTCTTTTTGGGAACAGCAGCCTGGCAGGTTAAGTATTTCTCTAAAAGTAATAACTGCCACCTGGTACCATCCCTCCTAGGTGGGCTAATGGCAAGTATCAAGGCTTTGTCTTTGGATAGGCCTGGCTCTGTAGCTCACACCTATAATCCTAGCACTCTGGGAGGCGGAGGCCAGCAGATTGCTCGAGTTCAGGAGTTTGAAATCAGCCGGAACAAGAGCAAGACCCTGTCTCTACTATAAATAGAAAGAAATTAATTGGCCAACTAATATATATAGAAAAAATTAGCCGGGCATGGTGGCACATGCCTGTAGCCCCAGCTACTTGGGAGGCTGAGGCAGTAGGATCGCCTGAGCCCAAGAGTTTGAGGTTGCTGTGAGCTAGGCTGATGACTTGACACTCACTCTATCCTGGGCAACAAAATGAGATGGGGGGAGGGGAGGGAAGGGGAGGGGAGGGGAGGGATTTTGAGATTATAGTCTGACTTTTTCCTCCCTTTGCTGGCATGAAAATGAATCTCTTTCCCCATCTCTGGAAAAACCTGTCCTTGTTCTTCTGATTCTGCCTCGTGGACAAGTGCTATGTTTTCGGCAACTCAGCCACAAATTCAGGGACACTCTCTTGTGGACAGGATCAATTCCCCGAGTACTCGGTACTAAAACAAAGCAAGAAAAGGTAACACAGGTGCATGGCAGTTCTCTCGCTCCTGTCAAACTCTGGGTCACAGACCACACACCATGCCAACTTGTGCAGGATCTCCTGTTGTTCAGAGCGTGGCAGCACCCACTGGGGATCCATAGGCTAAGTCGGCCCTCATTCTCTGCAGTTGGGTGACCTGGGTCCGCATTGTTCATGGACTACAGTTGGGGGACATTCCAGAGTTGCCCTGATCCCTCCCCTCCACTGATAGGAGCCAGTTGATCCCCTCATGAAAGGCACATGCCTTCACACATGAGGAGGTCTATGTTCTGTGGGTCCGGCGATGGCCCAGGCCAATGGAACACACAGAGACCACCATATATACAGCTTTGGGTTGGGGCATGATCAGATACTGTAGGTTCATATCCTGACCAGTGGATTGGCAGAGAGAAAGGTCAATTGTCCTGAAAGGCTTTGCACACTTGAGTCTCCTGATCAAAGATTCTGGAAGGTCATGAGTGTGAATTACCAGGGCACAAGGAATGGTCTCTAGAAACCATCCAGTAGGTAAGAAAGAAGTGTAGTGCTGGGCCTTGAGGCTTCCTACCAAATCGTTGCCTAGCACTGAACAGGTAGCACAGCTGCAGGCAGGTGGGAAATGGCAACTAGCAAACAGTGGTTGTCCAGTAGCAGGCCATAGGTAGTAAAGCTGTGGGAGAAAGGCCTGTATGCCCAGCACTATGCACATGGTTTCTGGCTTTGGCAGGGCTGGTTCATCAGGATGAATCTGGGAAACACCAGGAGGAAGGGGCCTGGGATAAAGCAGCATGAAAAAAAGGTGTGGAAAGGAGCCAGAGACTCTCACTGAACTCAAGGGTAGTACATTTACACAGTGTCATTGGATATTCTTGACTACAAGTACCTCGGCAACCTCAGAGATGAGACCAGAACATGCAGAGGAAACCAGAAAACAAGGAATATTTTTGGGCATTGCCTTGAGGTTCCTTGGATTTTGGGCACCCTGGCATAGAAAGGAGAAGTCTGCAGAGGCTCTGACAATTGCTCCCTTGGCAATGAATCTTCCAACACTAAGAGGAGGCCTCTGCAAGAACGCACTCACACCTTGGAGTCAGTATGGGAAAAGGCAAAGAAGCAAAAAGACACATTCCCACAGCCCCAAACTGTGGCTCTCCAGTGCAGGCTTCCCCGAGTCCCGCCCAGACATGGCCGCCACCAGGCTCCTCAGCCAGGACTTCCTGTATAGGCCGGCCAGGCGGCTGGCTGTCCACGTCTGCCTGGGGCCTGGCCCTGGTGCTTCCACACCATGGGCCACCCTTCTCCGAGGCTTCTAGAGAGCTCTGAGCTGTCCGGGGTCCATTCGTCTTCCCTGCTGGACCCCAACTGCACTCCCAAGACACTCCTCCCCATGAATCCCCAGGCCTGGCTTCGGGGGAATGCCAAACAAGTTCCTCTGGATGGCACTGTTGCACCACAAATAACTGCCTGCCCTTACTCCAGGTTCACTCTCTCCACCCTTGGTTGAGGAAAAAAAGCCAACCACTGTCCAATCTGGCTCCAACATGGCGGATGGCACCCTCTCGCCCATGTGGTAGTGGAGCTGGCCAACTGCCCTGAGCCTGCCCTCACTAGGGTCCCCTTCATCTGCCTTCCTGACCAAAAAGGGAGGGGTTCACCTCCTGTCCCCTTAGCAAGGCATGGGAATCAACCTAATCCCCACGTACAATTCCCTGAGGGAATCGCTTGAGCCCTCAGGGAAAAGATCCAGACTGGGCACAGGGTTGGATGCACCCCAGCCTTTGCCAGCCAGGAAACATTCAGACATGGGCACTTGCACAGGTCAGTCCAAGGCCAGATTTATGACCAGGTCGAGGGTGACCAGTGTCCCAAGGTTACCTGGTGGGGAGCAAGGGGGCAGGACACACTTTAAGCCCTGGAGAGAGGGCCCTTCTCACTCTAGAAGCACATAGTGGTCAAGCATGGCTAGGACAGACAGGACCACAGCCAGGATCGACACCCAAGACACCCATTCTCCTCGTGCCAACCCTAGGTCCATTTCCATATAGCTCCAATCTGGAGGCCTGCTGCGAAAAACACATACAGGTGTGCGTGCTTCTGCGGACTTGGTAATGTTAGATTGGATATGGACAAGTATAAAACACAATGATTACATTTTCTTCCTCAGAAATGGGTGCGTATTCTAACAGATATCTAATGGTTACTGTGTCAGGACTGATTAAAAAGGGGAATACCCCAAACACATGCAAAAACGCAAACTGCCCAGGAAGACTTCTTTGAAGTGGCCTTGGGCCACGTCTCCCACTTACCTTTAGCTCTATATCTACAGGTGGCACCGGCCTTCATCCTGGATGGACACTGTGTTGACTCCAATCACATTCATTCCTATGAGGCTACAAAAAGGAAGAGGGGTCATGGAATCGGAAAGATAATTCTCTAGAGTATCTTTGACTTCTAAAGAAACTACAGAATAAAAATCAACTCTTCTCAATTCTAGGCAATTGCATGAAATTATTTGAGGCTGTCATAAAGAAGCAGCTCTCTGGGAACTATGTATCTTGAAATAACGGAGAATTGACTCTTGGCTTTCTGCTCACTGATAACTACAACCAGCCTACCTTGGGCGTCTATACTCACACAACTTCTCTACTGGTATCTGTTCTGTGTGACTATGAAAAAGTGTATGTCAAAATATCCAAGTGAAGCTGTGTGCTCCACCTCATTCTAATGGAATAACACACCCTCAAAGGACTGGTAGCTCATCTGGCTAGAAAAGGAACGGGAAGCAGGTATTTGTAGTCGGGCTGCACACAGATCCACCACAATGACTTTCTAGACACAAGGGCAAATCCTTCTTGGGGGCGGCTGCATCTCAATGTATTCAGCAGCTGGTTTAAGGGTGGATATAGACTCTACTCCACGTACCTGTCAGTCACACATCCTCACCCTGTCAGAACTGGGACTTAATACCCAGACATACAGTTAGATCTCTTTCAATGAAAAGAAGATAGGAAGGAGGAAAAAAGAAACCACGTGTCCAAAATGAAGAGACATGGTAAACAAATGATCCTGCTGCTAACACCCCAGGCAGCGGTTACAGGGGAAATGGAAAGGATCTGGCTGGATGTTGACTCTGCACACATGTGCAAAGGCCAAGGAATGTGTGTTTTATTCCATATCAGCCTGGCAGGGTCAGAGAGAAGGCCGAAAGCAGACAAACTTCCACATTGTCATTCATATGCACAAGATATGAGATGCAATCACACAGGAAAAAATTGGCATCTACTTCTCATTTAGGGAGGGATGGTAACAGGGGTAGAAGACAAAAGGCACAATTAAGAATTGGACATCACACAGTGGAAAGGATTGTCTGTTTAACTGAAAAAAACGTCTATCCCTATTGGTATTACCAATGTTGTCATGGGAGAAAGAATATCGAAAATAAAAGGTAAATATGTACACATATATAGAGATGAGAGCTTGCATGTGTGTGGAAGCATGAATGATTACATGCAAGAATGTGTGGGGTGGGTGGACAGCACAGCCACACTTCCATGTAGAGTTTGTGACGAGGGGCTGCACAACCAAAGGCCCTTTCCAAAGTCACCTACCTGTGTAAAACCACTGGGTTCTCCTCCTGAGCCTTGGAACCCCAATCTGGGCTACTCAGTGGGGAGTGACTACTTCAGTCCCTGTGGGTGACCCAAGGCTAATCCTTCCAGATTTGTCAAGTCACATGGCTCCTGTCAATTCCTGCTGCTCCCACAATGGCCTTTTCTACACTGCTCCTAATGCCTTAGGAGCATTAGGAGTTTGTTCCTGGAATGTGCTTTGATTGGATGGCTCCCTGAGGCTAACCCTGGCTTCCTAAAAACAGAATGCAGGTAATGACTGCAGCATAAGAGGGGAAATCCAGATACTCAGCCCATGTCAGGCTATGAGTGGACTTTCACTCAGGAGGAACCTTATAACACCCACAGGTGTGACCAGAAAACTGGGTACCTCATTATAGTAAATTCTGGCTCAAAGCTTATGAGGATATGACATATTGACGGATAAATCGATACATCCACACCTTTGGTTGAACAGTTTCACACAGATATTTATATTCACACCAAGAGCCTGAAAAAAAACGCACCTTTTTCCACATACCTGAAAAGAATAAACCCCACTCTTAGGGCTTGAATCTCTTGTAAGCATTCTTTGGCGTTTTTTCACCTATAAAAGGTGGAGGGAGAGGCCTGGGAGGACAAACTGTGGGCATTTCTGGAGCGACAGTGCCCCCAAGCGGAAACTTTTTATGTGGACTTCCAGGTAGTCTTTGTGTACACTGAGGGGAGGCCTCTGAGAGGAGGAAGCCTAAGTTTGTGGAAATGGCGAATTCTGGGGCTGCACCTGTGGACCCCACTGGGAGAACCTGGGTTTAGTGAGAGAGAGAGAGGAGTCAGGCTTGGCTACCAAGGAGCCAGGGCTGTCCGGCCTGCCAGGCTGGGGAGTCCCTGTAGACCAGTCCTCGGAGGCCGCCATGTTTGGGAACCTGGAGCTGAAACTACCACAGAGGATTTTGCACTGGTCATTCCTGGTGGTACAGGGGCAACATTGAGGCATTAAGAGGGACACTTTCTGGGCAGTCGAAGCCACTGGGAAATCCAGACTTAATAGTCCATCTGGAAAACCTAGGCCCCAGCCGAGTAATGAGAAGGAGCCTGCGTCAAAATGTCATGGGCAGTCTCTTGTAGAAAGGATAAATATCCTCATTCCTGGGTACTAGAGCAATACAAGAAATGGTAACACCGTGCACGGCCTGCCAAGTTCTGGGTGATTCCTTACACTCCTGTCAGAAATTCTGGGTCACAGGCCCCACAGGATGGCATGCTATGCATCTTCTCCCATTGCACAGAGTCCAGTGGTATCCACAAATCAACGTGGCCTCCATTCTCTGGACCTGGGAGACAGGGGTCTGTAATGTTCCTGCATTATAGTTGGGGAACATTCCAAACGTCCCCTGTTCGCTGGCCTCCAGTGTCTTGACCCGGGTACTCGCCTCCATAAATATACCTGGGGTCACACATACAGAGCAGTATGTTATTTGGGTCTGGCTTTCCCAGAGCATTGCCTGGACTAATGGACACACAGAGACAGATAAGGGAGACCCTCATTACCTAATACTAACCTATCACCTGGCGTCTGCAGTCATGCTTACCTACTGCATCAGCCACCTGAGACTCCACTCCTCGGACCACCCTAACCTAATAAAAGTGGAAGAAACTCAGTAGATGGAGCTCAGATTGTGGTGGCAAGTCCCCTCTGAGCCTGGTGGTGAAGAAACCTTGGTTCTCCATTCTCCGTGTGGGGCTGGATTTGTCCTCGCAACCACCCACTGTAACACTTGCTGTAAGAAGACTGAGACACTCACTGTTTTTTGTGGGTGTGTGATCAGATCCTCTAGGTCCATACCCTAACCAGTTTATCAACAGAGAAATAGGTCAGTTGTCCCAAAGGCTCAGCGCATATGGATGACCTGCGCATGAATTCAGGAAACTCATTCATGCAAAGTACTGGAGCCCCAGCAATAACATTTAGAAACCATCCAGTAGATATGAAAGAAAAGGAGTGCATTCCTGGGCCTACTGTATCCTTGGGCTAGCATTGAACATGTAGCACAAATATAGGCAGGGGGGAACTGGCACAGAGTATGACCACGACAGTGGTTCTCCAGTAGCAGGCCATAGATCGTAAAGGTCCATGGAGAGCCCTGTGTGCCCAGGAGTATTTCACATCATTTTTGGCCCTGGCAGGTCTGACTGATGGGGGTGAATCTGAGAAACTCAAGAAGACAGGGGACTGTGGATATAGCAACAGGGAGAAAAAAATGGGAAAGTAGGGGTAGACCGTGACTTAAGCTAACAGTGATGACATTTACACAATGTCACAAGATCTTGTTGATTGCAAACTCCCTGAGCAAGCATAAGGTTCAGACCAAGCGATATAGAGGGTACCAGGAAACAAGGGATGTTCCTCGTCATTGCCTTGAGGCTCTTGTTAATTTTAGGCAAGTTAAATGAGGAAGGACATGTCTACATAGACTCATGAAACTGCTCACTTGGCAAGGAGACTTGGAACAGTAAGAATAGTTATCTGCAAGAATGCACTCAGTGACACCTTCGTGTGAGTATGATAACAGGCAAAGAGGCAGAACACAAGCTGCCCATAGCCTTGAGGCCTTGTTCCCCAATACAGGCTCCACTAGTCCCGTCCAGACATGGCTTCCACCAGGCTCCCCAGATGGGACTTCCTGTACAGGTCCGACAGTCAGCTGGCTGTCCACGTCGGCTTGCTGCCTGTCCCTGGTGCTTCCACAGCCCAACCTGCCATGGGCGACTCTTCCCCTAGCCTCCTCAGAGATCTGATCTGTCTGGGGAGTCCTGTCCCATGTCCCTGCTGGACCCTGACCGCACTCCCAAGTCACTTCTCCCCAGAAAACCCCAGGACTGGCTCTGCCAGAAGGCCAAACAATTTCCTCTGGATGGCACTGTTGCACCACAAATGCACACCTGCTCTTCCCTCAGGTCCACTCCCTCCGCCTTTTGGTGAGGAAAAAACGCCAACCACTGTCCAATCTGGCTCCAAAATGGCGGATAGCACCCTTTTGGCAACTTTTTGGAGGAGCCATCTCACCTGCCACTGTCCAAATAGTCAGAAGAAAGGGTGACACTGGGACAGTAGGTATGAGCACAAAGCCCTATTTGCTCCGCCAGCCCACCATAGTTCAGGCATAGATAGGTCACATAGGACTGGGGACAGGTGCCACCCCTAAGGCACCCGTCCTCCTCCTGGTTCTCTTCCTGGGGGCCCCAGATCCATGTCAGGAGAGCTCCTAACGGGGTGCCTGCTGGGCAAAACACATAGAGCTGTGCGTGCTTCTGCGGACTCATGTGTGTCATGCCAGAGAGGACAAGGATAAGCCAGAATATTTGCAACTTCTTTCTTGGGAACGTATATTCTCATGGACAATTTAACATAACCATGTCTAGGCTGAGCAGAAAACAGAACACTCCCAATATGTGTTCAAAAATCACACTGCCCAGGAACACTACTGTGTAAATAAGACACAGTAAATAGAAGGAACAGTGGACACCCTAGCTGCAGCTTCTGTGCTCATCACCCCACCTTGGTCCCCCAAAATCTATGTGGTCTTCCCCACAGCAACCTGTTTTCTCCTGTCTCTCTCTCTCTCCTCACACCCATATGCTGACTCCTCCCTGTCATCCTTTCTCTCTCTCTCTCTCTCTGATGCCCCACTGTCACTGCCTATATATGTGCACGCATGCAACTGCACACCTTCTGTTTTCTCCAGGACCACACATAAAGACATTGTGCCAAAGTCATGACA